TTGAAGTCCCCTCCTCTGGTCCCCGGGCCCCGACCACATCTCATCATCTGCCGTCTTCATATCTCCCGGTGGTTTGATCTGATTGAGGCTGAGCTTTTAAACTGGAGACACACTGAGTGGAAACCAGACACTTTCTTTCTTCACTGTAGATTTGTTGAACTCAAAACTTGGAGTGCCCCTGAGTAAGACATCAACAAATCTAATCTTAAATGCTGCCAGACTGACCGAGGCTCCGCTGTCAGAAATTCATTGTGTGATGCAACCGCGATTCAGGAATGCATTTTGGTTGATCTGGTTTATTTACTGTATGTGGCGTGACTGTACTGCGCTGTCATTTTGATTTTAGTTTCTCTGTTGTTGGAGTCAAAGTAATAAATGTCAGTTTTTTTATACTTTGATCCTGACCCGAACACGCTAGCTCAATGGGGAAGTTCTATTGGACAACGTTTTGCTCCATCTCTTCTCTGGTTCCTATTGAAATGTAAACAATTCTAGCAGAGTAACCGTTTTTGTCACTATCTACAATTTAGGCTTGAAAGAATTTGCGGTTCTGCGCTTTCTATAATCCTGGTGCTTATATATTTTTTTACATTGTCTTTGTAAATCCAGACATGAGCCATTGTAAGGATTGAGGAGATTTCTTGATTTATGGGGGAACTCTAGCTTGCCTTAGCGACACGCTCTTCTGCTGTTACGGCACAAAGCTATCGCAACAAAACAAATCCCCTTATACTGTAAGTAAATTGGCTCCAGCTAGCTTGAGTTCAAATCAGCCTCTTCTGCTTTAGGCTAACACTACGGTGATGTCAGCACTCAGTCAGCCCACTCCGAATATATGGTCTATATGACTACCCTGCATTTCCTTGTGTGGTCTCTCTCTGCTATTCACATAAACGTAAACAGATATTGAAGCTGTGACCCAATTCTCGAGTCCAGGAGATAATCTACCACAATAAAGATACATTCATTGTCTGCATTACAACCTGGTCTGCAAGGTTTTAGGAACTTAAAAAACTAAAAAAGTATCTGTTAAGTGAGGAAATTACTGCGCTGTTGCTGCATTGTAAAGTGAAGACTGGTTAGACCTGTCCATGCTCACCTCCAGAGCTTCCTGATTGGTCAAAATTAATTAAAATTCTTGTGGCTCCTTGTGATTGGTTTAACAATTCTCCTCCTGAAAACCTCTCTGTTTTGCCAAGAGGATTGGCTAATTTAAATATATATAATTGTGGAGGAATATTTAACACAACATATAGATAGAATAGACATAACATATATGATAGCCCTTGGTCAGAAATGTACAGTGTTTTGTTGCTTACATATCCCTATATGTACATGTTTATAATTCCTTTAAACCTCAGTCCTGGATGAGCATGAAAAGAATAAAACAGTTCTTAATCCTCACAGCGGACATTTGTGTACATTGAAGTGGTTCTGCTCAAGACTGGCTCCATAAACTCCCATCACAGTAGATTTAGAGTAGATCTGCTGAAAGCCTTTGAAATAACACCGGGAGAGAAAAGCTGGCAACATCGCTAAGACTTTTCCTATTTCCAAACTTATAACAAAGTCTTATAGCGAGCTGGAATCTTGTAAATGTAATCTCAGCGTTAATGATGCAAGAAGTTAGAAGTGTTCTAGAAACAGCCATGTTGAATAGCTTTAGTGTAGATGATGGTATGGATTGTATTATAAAACACTTTGCCCTTGGTAGAGATTGTCTTTCTGTGAGCGTAGACCGTTTGTTAGGAGTGGACTGACCGAGTGCGACATCACCATAGTGCTAGCCTCAATGCAGAAGACGCAGATTTGAACATGAGCTATAGCCGGAGACAATTTCCTTACATGGGTATTTGTTCAGGGTATTTTGCTTGCAATACCACCCCGGGCCGATGGGGGTGGACCCAGAAGAAGAATTAGCCAATGCTAACATATAGCATTGGCAGACCTCTAAAAAACGTCTTTACAGGATGGACCAAAAGTTGGCTCTTGGCCCAAAGCTCCGGTCCACATGTGTGTCAATGCTGAGGGGGGTGAATTTTTTTGGTCCACTCTAGTTTAATTGCTGTGAATCTTTTTGGTCCACTCTAGTTTAATTGCTGTGAATTTTTGAAGTCTCTCGTTCAAATGAATGGAGCTGCTCCGGCTGACGCATGCGCAGATGCGTTTTTTCACAATTTTCTTGTGGGCGGGACCACTCGCGGCCATTTTGGATTTCTCCAGTAGAGCATATTTTTTGGCCCATTAGTTAGAACGGCGGAGATATGCGTGACTTTGTCCGTTAATATATACAGTCTATGGTTCAGACGTTGCCGAAATAAGGAAAAACAGTATTGCTAAGATGGTGGCTAAGGCTTCAGGACTTTCCCTCGAGAATCAAGACATCTGATTGGTCAACCCTTATGGCTCATTTCTGGATTTACAAAGACAGTATCAAAATAAAAACACCAAGATCACAGAGAGCGCTAAACCACAGATTTTTTAAAGCTCAGAATGGTGAGTATGACACCAACGGTTACTGAACTGGAGGAGATAATTTTTCAATGTAAGTTCATAAGAGCCAGAAGTCCATAAAACTTCGTCCCTGAGCACTCCAGTCTGCCCCAGGGCGGCCGTGGTTGTAGTAGTAGTTTAACACCACCGTGTATGGAGTGAGAGAATGATGCTTCCCAAAGGAATTATTGAAAAAAAGCACTATATAATTCAATGTATTATTATTATTATTGTTTTCATTATCATTAATTTTGAGCTGGTGGTATAAGATGGACACAGCTGTATAAGAAAAGAGCCGGTATATGCTTGTAGCATGAGAAAAGCATCTTACTGCCTCACCAGACTGTGGCAGAGTCTGTCATTACTCTGAGATTGACTGTGTGGACACAAAGTCACGTCTCGACCATGGACCGGCCTCAGACACTTCCTCATGTCATCTGCCCTCTCCGTGACATACACACCGATCTAAAACACAATGAATACAATAACTAGAAAATATAACATTTGTTTTTACATAGATAATACTTTTTCAGATTCAGATTCACTTTATTCAATTCAATTTGCAGTAAACCCCCTTTGGAATACATGTGCTTAAGTCCCCAGTGTGCACCAGACAATTACATAAAAAAACAAGCAAAAAAGTACAGGGATACAATGGACCGTTTTGTAAAAGCACAATCTTACAAATTGCACAAATTACACTCACCATGTGATGAAAAAAATCCATGGTATAGCTCTCTCTGTGCTCCTGGTGTTTGCATTTGACATTGTCTTTGTAAATCCAGATATGAGCCATACAAGGATTGACCAATCAGTTGCCTTAATTTGCCGGGGAAACTTCAACACTTAGCAACACGTCCGCCCCAGCTAACTGCTAACGCCGTCGGAGCAATTGCCCAAATAAGGAAATTGAAACTAGATTCTTTAATGATTTGAAAGCCTTGTATGCTCTTCCATATTCTGATCCTGATTCTGATCTTAATTTACTAAACAATTTTAATTACCTTGTTTATGAACTGTGCTATACAAACAAACATGCCTTGTTTTACCTTCTGATGTCAGTCCATTCCTAATACACGGTCTACGGTTGTACAAAAGGAAAATGCTGAGGAGAGCTGAATTGGTGAGATGTTTGGAAGTACAGTGCAGAACAGTAGGGCGGGTCTCTCTATATCACTCCCAGTGGTCTCAATATGTAAACAAAACATACAATTAGGTTTTCCCCCTCAGAGATAAGTTATTATTAACTCAGCGTTCCTAATCCAGCTCCGTACATTTGCCACTCTTGTTTCGAGGAATGATGGGGTCAGCGTCCGTGTGAGATTATATTTAGTGACTTTGCTGGTTTGGGAACTTCCTGGTGCATGGCTGACCGATGTTGTGAGAGATTTTAACTTGGAATTTGGAAAACCCTTTTACAACGTGTCGCCAATTTCCTCTGTAAAATAAGACGGTGACGTAGAGTTATAGGACAGACACAAATTATGAGGTCCTCAACTTGTTTTCAATGAGATCTGAGCCGACTGCAGCAGAACCAGTTGTTTCATTTCCGCAGTTCGGTTGCACCATGTGTCCTGCTTTGAGAGAAAAAAAAACATTAAATACATACAATTTTTACAGAAGCATGTGTAGCAAGCATAGACTGTATAGAGATGGACGCTATTCTGCTTTTTTGGACGCTTCACAAACTATAACTGTAGCAACAGCTGCCCTGGGGCAACGTGACAGAAGCAAGGCAATTGTTTTGTGCCACCAGCCCCTTTGACCACCACCAACCACTCACACACACACTAGACTCAATCTAATGTGGCTGAAGTGTCTTGCACTTCAACAACAGTGGACAAAACAACAGTGGCACCTGGTGTTCCCAGAGGTCTCCCATCACAGTGCAAACCAGGTCCTTTGCTGCTTAGCTTCAGGGCTCTGATCTGATCTGATTCAACTGCAGGAGTTAAACCTATACTACTTATGGTAATCAGGGCATATCAGCCAGTAAGCAGACTTAATTCACTTCAATACATATTTTACAGCCTCAAATCACAACAGTAGTTATCTTGAAGGACTGCTTACAAAGCTGTCGATTCCCCAACACAGATCAGAGAATCAGTTCAAAAACAGGAAATTCAATGAGCAAAAACCATTGGTCCATAAGCCATTGGCCAACGACCAATGTCCATAAATCTATTATCAAATTGAAGTCCTACACAAGATATCGACAGAACCAATATTTAGAAACCAATACCTGATCCTACCCAATGGCTGCACCAAATTCCGATGCTAGTATCATATCGGTGCATTCCTAGTAATCTAAATAAATAGTGTTTGTGCGAATGTGAGCAAGGGACCAACGCACAATTTTCTTCGGGATCCATAAAGTATTTCTCTATCTATCCACTCGAGTTGTCTGTTTTTTCGCTACTGCTTTGTAAACGTGCCCACTGTCCTCTCCACTGAATGCCTCTTTTCTCGATCTTTCTGTAGGATGACCGACAGCCGCTGATCCCAGGATGTCCGTGGTCCCATCGGGCAGGACTTCTTCCTCCCAATCCATACCCGTGTGTCTCACCTGCTCATGGCTCCTGCTGCTCTTCTATGGTGCTTTGGCACAGAAACCGGCGAAGCTCCCTCTCATCGGCCGAAAACCCTTCATCGCTGCCTGGAACGCCCCTCTGGACCTGTGCACCATCAAATACAACATCACTGCCAACTTGGAAAAACTCTTTCACATTCACGGCAGCCCTCGCGCCGACTGGACGGGCCAAAATGTCACCATATTTTACGCCAACAGACTGGGATATTACCCGTACTACACTTTGCAAGGCGACCCGGTACATGGCGGACTTCCACAGAACTGCAGTCTTGAGCTACATTTGTTCAAAGCCTTCCAAGACATCAACCACTTCATCCCAGCCGAGGACTTTCGCGGTCTCGCCGTGATCGACTGGGAGTTCTGGCGACCGCAGTGGAGCCGGAACTGGCACAAGAAAGACATCTATCGCAAGAAGTCTGTAGAGCTAACGAGCAAGGCGTATTTTAATGTAACGGATTCGCAAATAGAGGAGCTGGCGAGAAGGCGGTTTGAAAAGAGCGCCAAGGCTTTCATGCAACGGACTATTCAGCTGGGAACGCGCCTTCGCCCCAACGGACTGTGGGGATTCTACCTCTACCCAGACTGTCATAATTATAACTTCCATGAGCAGAACTACACGGGATTCTGCCCCCTGCTGGAGAGGATGAGGAACGACGAGCTGCTGTGGCTCTGGAATAGCAGCACAGCGTTGTTTCCGTCCGTGGCCATACGGAAAAGCCACACCAACAGCATCAGTAATTTGCACTTTTCGCAGCACCGGATCCGCGAGGCGACCAGGGTGGCCTCGTTGACCTCGAAGGAGTACGACCTGCCCACGTACGTGTACCTCCGGATGGGGTACAGAGATGAGGCACTGACTTTTCTCACAAATGTAAGTGATTTTGTTAGGGTCGGTATTTACTACACACCAGTCTCCAATCTATATAGATACAAAACAAAGTCAGATGGTCAATAGTGAATAGGAAAGGCATTTTTTCTTGACCCAAAGAAATACCAATTTTATAATGCCTTCTTCCCAAACTGCAGACAAAAAGCTTTAATAGCTGGAGTCTATACTTCTCTTTACAAGTCTGTGTTTGTGATGTGCAGAAAGACTTGATCCACACAATCGGGGAGAGTGCTGCTCTGGGGGCAGCGGGCTTCGTGATCTGGGGAGACTTGAACCTGACCTCGTCCAGGGTGAGTCTCCAAACTGCACTAAGCCTCATTCATATTCCACCTTCCAGAAAACACGCAAATTTGTACGATGTTGGATGCGTCTCCATGGAGTTAGTGGAGTCACAGCAACAGTGCAGTACATTAGGCGAGCGTTGGAGGCGCTACCCGGCTCATTGTCCTCATCGCTTTCTCGCATTCAACGTCATTTATGGACTTTATCAACATGTACGGACATTGGTCATCTGCACCTTATGTGTTTTTTTATCATTGTGTTCCATGTGTTTGAACAGTTTGATTCTCTGACCTTTTGCCCGCGAATCGATGGTTTTGTAAAGTCCTCAGAAATAACTATTTTTGTGATGTACAAAAATACATTGATTTGAATTGAATTGAATTTAAAGTAATTGAATCTGACCTGTACACCCGTGTGCAGTTCACTTCGTTCCCATCGTGTGTCGTGCGGTCTACCACAGGGATAGGCATTTCACGTGCTGATATTGAAAGCAAACTCGCTATCACCCCCTATCGTACCTGTCATGACATGTAATGGTGAGATATACGGAACTATATTATAGTTCAAATGCTGTATAGTCGTACGAATGACGCTGGAGATGCTCGAAACGCACAGACCTAATTACGTGCGCAACTGGAGTATAAAAGTGTCTTTCGTCTACACAACCCCGCTCCCATCTCTGTGAGGAGTGAGAGGACAAGTGCCCAAAAAAAATAACAATTGTAAACCGCTTTGTGACTCTGGTCTGTGAAAGGCGGTATATAAATAAAGCTTACTTACTTAACATTATACTTATGACAATATTGTTTACTGTAAATATTGCCCAACAGACAATATGTTTCTTCAGTCTGCAGACAATGTGTCCTGGACATGAATGCACTTGTGGTGGTGTAATAAAAGGCACAATTCAACCGTGGAATTCTTTAGATGGTTGTCTCAATGAGGACATTGTTTTGGACCATTCTTAAAATAGGCGTAAAATAGATTCGCCTTTTAATAGAATGGGGACATATTTGTCTAAGTTTATAAAGCATGTGGCAGCAGAATGTTTGGTAGTCAGTTACGACACAATCAAGGACACAAATCTGATTGAAACCTGAGTCATACTCTAAAATACTTACTGGTGTGATGGCAGCGAAAGCGGGTTCCACAAAGTATCATCTATGATAGATCGATAGATACTTTATTGATCCTAGTAGGAGAAATTCAGGTGTCCAGTAACAGCAAAAATAAAATTGATCATTCTAAAAAGATAGTAATAATCAGCAACAGCCTCAGGTCACAGCAGCAGAGGTGGAGTAGCCTCTGGGTGGAGCAGGACAGGTCAAAAGGTGGTGTAGCCGCTTGGTTCGGACCATTTTCTCTGCTCTAGTCCAAAGTAAAATGCTAAATGCTTCATTAGCATTTTTCAACAAGTTAGCATTCCTCCAGTGTATTTTTGGTTGATCCGCTTGGTTCGGACCATGAATCCTCTCTGCTCTGGTCTGGAACAGTGCAAAACTATGCACGCTGTACTGCAGCAACATCTCAGGAAGAAAAAAAGCAAGAAAAAACCCCACAAAACAACAAATGTTTTAGAGCTACTTAGGACTTGCAGCCGTTTCCCAGCGCACTTTTCAAAAAAAAAAAAAACAAAAAAAAATACAGAAATACATGAATTATTTTGGTTTCACAACTTTTTTTTTAATTTGGAAAGTTTTACATCTTCTTGTTTAAGCATAGGGATAGGGCAGGCCAAATATTTTCTACTTAAGACATTATTAAATATTAGTTCACATTCTAAAACAGGGGTTATCTGCAAGGATCTGTTAAGGCGTCCGGGAATCATGTTCTTGGTCCCCCCAAAGCCTGTTGGTAAAAATGTCAAGAGATGCACAACAGGAACTCGTGAGAAGTCTCTTCTCGACGGGACATGCCCAGAACACCTCCTCAGAATATGTCATATATTATTTCACAATCAGTGTTTTCAGTATTTCTCCATCTTCAGTTTGGGGCCTGTTACTAAATCTGTTCTTCCAATCTCCAGCACAACTGCACCAAAGTCAAGCACTTCCTGAGCCACCGTCTGGGCCAGTACATCACCAACGTCACGCGAGCCGCCGAGCTCTGCAGCGACGCCCTGTGCCAGAGCAACGGCCGCTGCGTCCGGAAGAATCCTCGCGCTCGCCACTACCTCCACCTCGACCCCGACAGCCACCGCATCGTCCCGACCGGCGACGGAGACTTCACCGTCAGCGGCTGGCCCTCCCCGCACCACCTCCAGCTGCTCCGCAACCGCTTCAAGTGCCACTGCTACGAGGGCCACGAGGGCGAGACCTGCGACAGCGTCAACGTGGTGAAGGAGGAGGAGCTACCGGGCCGCAGGGAGGAAGAGGAGGAGCAGGAGAGGAAGAGGACAGAGTGGGAGCGCGAGCAGGGTGAACGCTATGACGGGAGAGAGAGCGCGGCCCAAGTGCACGTGGCCGGCGCCTGGATCACGGGGACGATGCTAACGTTGTGCGTGTTTGCGTCGAGGGCACATCTATGATTTACGTGACATTCTTCTACTTCAGGGGTCTCCGACCTGTAGCTCTCCAGCTGCTTTAAGGTAGCTCGCCAAAGATTAGCTCAGTGAGATAATAAAATATGATTGGTGGCTTGGTTTAAGGTGCAGTAAGCAACTCAGTGTAGCTTTTAGCAGTAGCGTCCGAGAAAAGCATTACCAACGCATCCCATTGGTTTATTTCTATCGGCCCGCTCCAAAATATTTATAATTTACTTTTTGAGGCTACAGGTCATGAGCAGAACTACATGGAATTCTGCCCCCTGCTGGAGAGGATGAGGAACGACATGACCAGGTCTATCTGGTCATGTCCATTCCCATTGGAAAACACATGACAACTTGACTACTTTTGGGTTTTAGGGACGTTTCACCACAGTATTTAAAAAATTGCGTCTGGATAAATCATTGACTGCTTCTTTAATGTTTGGAGCACAAAGACAATAATGTAATTTCCTTATAGCACATTGGCAAGGCAAGTTTATTTGTACAGCACAATTCTTACACACGGCAACTCAAAGTGCTGAACAAAACGAGATCGAGTCAGTATTAAATATAATAATACATACCATTGCCACTTACCTTATGTAACTTTGAGTTCAAACTTCCGGCCCTCCACATAATCGTTTAAGTAATTAAGTAAAGTTTATTTGTATGGCGCATTTTACAGACCAGGATCACAAAGCGCTTCACACATTAAAACACATAAAATAGACATGAAACACAGAAAAACGCAGTTCACAGAGGCCTATGAACAGTGAGGCGAGAAAGCCTGTCTAAACAAATAGGTCTTAAATTGGGACTTAAAATATATATAAGAGGACTTTTTCTTCTTCCGGGTGGATCATCAAGACTATTGGTCCTCCCAATCGTCAATCATTCTGGTGATACGTGCTCAACAAACAAGACCAAAGAGTTTATTGTAAATAGTGGAGAGGGTGGTTCTTTCCTAAAATTTGGGAAAATAATAGCCCGGACCTGGTTTTTCACATGATCCTGACTGATTATATTTTGAGTGATTTCATATCTAATCTATCTAGTCGTAGTTATAATATAGACATTTATCACTTATTGAGAAAGGTTGGAGACCCCTGTTTACTTTTTCTACAGTTGAGTTTGAAAGTTTACACTCTCTTAAGAAACTCAAAAACGTTCTTTTCAACTCGTAGTCAGTGGTTGTTGTGAAGCCGTATGTTGCTAAATACATATGTTTTCTATTTTTCCAGAAATCAGACCTGTTCAGAAATAGGAATAACTTATTAGGCTCCTCCCACTCACTGCTGATTGGACAAGGACCACCACTGTGTCCATTGCACCTGTATTTCTGCATTCTTTGTTTTCCTGCTCACATGTTTTGTTGCAATCATAAAACAAAAACACACAAACTGACAAAAACATAGACATAATGGGTCTGGTGCTATGAGACGTGGGTGGCAGCTCTGATTGCAACCCCCCTGACCCAGAAATGGAATAATAAAGGGGTAGAAAATGACATGACATGACAACTTATAAGAGAATTCAGCTCTTGATTCAAAAACAGTAGATATTATCTCTGTTCTGCGCTGGCAGAAAGGTCAGCCGTAACATTTCAATTTATATAAATTCGCAAACATGATGCAAGCGAGGATAAAGATGGATAAATCCATACATACAGATGTGTTGAGAACTGGAGGATGGAGATTTCTGATCAGGGTCAGAGTTTTTCTCATTACAATTTGACAATAAAACATATTTTTGACTATAAATGGCTTCACACATCCACTAACGATGAGTTAAACTTGTTTTAAATGTTTTAAAGCTACAGTACAACTGAGGCCTCGTTCACCACAATGTCTTCGTGTCATTTGGCCTCTTCCAACACAAGAGGTCGTGAGACTGAGCAAAAATAGTTCTTGATTTCAAACCATAACTATCTCACTTCCTAAAATCAGAGCAGTTTACACCGTGGATCTACGCACACACACACGCACGCACACACACACACACACGCACGCACACACACGCACGCACACACTATTTCATGTGATATTTTCAACAGGATGCATCTCTACTGCAATACCACAGTCTGCAGTGCACCAGTAAAAACAACAGCGCCATTTAGTGGACACATGCAAATACTGCAGGTGTCACCATCACCTTTCCAGCCAGAGGGAAAACAAATTTGGTGGAAATGGTACGTTTTATTTCAAATACATATTGATGCACACCAAAATATTTCATGGCTTGTGGGAATTTACCTAATATTTTGCACAGAAGATGGAGGACAAACCACTTTGACTGAAACCAAAAATAGAACACAATAATACAGTTATTATTTCCTTTGTTTAACGTTCACTTTAGAGAAACTGGCTGCAATGGGAATGAATACCCATAGACAAGCATTTAAAGCTGGGGTACCTGACTTTTTTATGATAAATGTTTTTGTAAACAGTGACATGTCATGAAGGAATTATACGACAACAAGCTGTCTTCTTCTTCTGCTAACATTACAATCGGCATTAAAGAAAGAGCCCTATGAGTCGTTATTTGACACTTTGGGCTGAGAGCTCGTTGGTCCTTACTTTTTAAAGATGTGTCAGAGGCCAAAGATACATCCATGTGGAGATGACATTAACTGTTTAGAGGGTGAGGTATTAGTGAGATGGATTTTGTGCTTTGAATCTAGGTACCCCAGCTTTACAGACAGACATTCTGACACAAGGGACTTAAAACAACACATGTGACATTATAATCAGGACAGCATTGAATTGGAGAAAAAAGTGGAATTTTAATTTAGTAAAACAATTTTGAATATTAATCAAACGTGAAAACCCCTTTAACACTATAGACATGATGGATTTAAGGGTTTGTTGTGGCCTCTAGTGGTCAGCTGAGTTACTGCAGCTTCAGGTGGAGAAAACAGAAGAAGCACATTATTTTTGTATCGTTATATTTTACCTTCAAAAATACGATTCTTTTGAAGTTTATTTTCTATACAATATGCAAAATATGTAAATAGTCTTTTTTTCAACATGACAGCTACTTTTTGATCTTCAGTGCTTTATAAAAATGTATTTTTGAGACTGCTTTTAGTTTTTGATATGAGTCTGAACCATAGACTGTATATACAGACGGACAACGCTAACCTGCTAGCTCAGCGAAGCCCAATAGGGATTCTTTCAGCTAGCAGGTTAGCCAAATGTAATAATGCTCTGGCTCCTATACATAGTTCCCACAGACCAATGAATGTCACATGACCTCCTCGGAGACGCCATCTTTGATGGCACGCTGCTGTGTTTGTGCATTCCATTAAACAGAAGAATGAGAATAAATGTAGATATTCAAACGCAAATTGGAAAAAAAGGGCAACTTTTGAGCAAATAATTGTATATTAATACAATGGCACCACAGTTTAACGTGCTACGGACATGTTTTACATATTTGATCAAATTATGCAGCAAAAATTAACAAGCAATGCAAACATTTCTCAAAAACTTTAGATTTAATACCAGTTGGAGCTCCATTTAATTATTTTAATTATATTAACAATTAATTTAATTAATGCTAATGCCACACGGACACTCTGGATTGCTGTTATTGTTTATTTCCGCGTTTTTGACCGTATGTTTTGGTGAATGGTGGGCAACTGATTTTTCCAGGCGTAAAGAGCAGTTTATTTTATGACACAGATCTTTTTACAGAAGCAATGCTGTTTGTGAACATTGTTTTAGCCCACCATAGAACTATTATTATCTATTTAATACATTTACGTTGCCCTCGAGAGCCTCGGACGCGACACCGATCCTCCTCATAATAAAGTAATCTAACGCTAAATAATGAAACTCTCAAGTTACCAAATATCAGCATACACAAGTTAGTACTGAGTAAATTACGTCTGTCAACACATTATAAGATACGATACGCACCTGACACAAAGTGCTCCGAGCATATTCTTGCGTGTTTTGAGGGAGTTTCTTGCCTGTTTATCTTCACAAGCCATAACCTCCGTGGTTGTTCTGACAAAAGCTTAGTCTTCTCACATTCATGAAGTCTAATGATGGGTATACTGTAAAATCCAAGTTTAACGGAACCTCCGGCACGATTTGAACATCCATTGACCCAGCAGGAGATGACCATTTTCAACTTTATCACGACATTAACACGTTTCAGCTTCTTTTTCTATTGTTTTGCCCACAGCATGCCAACACAAATGGCGCCGGGTCGGCAAATCCCCGTATGTAGTGACGTCATGTGGGAACTATGTATTGACCAACATAGTAAAATCCTCTAACTTGTAACAGTTTGTGCCACACTCACCATTTTGGGATTTAAACATCTGTATTTTAGCATGCACTGTGATCCTGGAGTTTATATTTGGATATTGTCTTTGTAAATCCAGATACAAGCCATATAAGATTGACCAATTAGATGCTTTCATTCGTGAGAGAAACTCCAGCTTGCCTAGCAACCATGCTATTAACACTATTATCCCTTACGGCGCTGAGCTAACCCTGTCGGAACAAATGCCCATATAAGGAAATTGGCTCTCGCTAGCTTATGCTAATTTTTGCCTCTCTATGGTGATGTCACACTCTGCACACTGATATACAGTCTATGGTCTGAACAAGCGGAGAACCAAAAATGCGCAGCTTCAATCATCTCGTGTACTGTACGTTTGACACTGAACATGCAAAGAACAGTTGGTCAAGGTTAGCCTGGGACATGTAATGAATTGTCAAAAATATTTAAAATGAGACAATTGAGTGGTCATAATATCAGAGGAGATTTAGTTTGAAAATGGAGCTACAAAATTACATCAATATGAGTATGTATATATTGATATAGGGTTGATTTATCTGTGTATAGCCCTAAATCACAGCCGCAGTCGTCTCGGAGGACTTTTACAAGACAATAAATAACACATAGGAGCCATTGATTTGAATCGGCCGCCATCTTGGATCACGGGGCTATAGATAGTTTTCCATATCACGGCCTGTGATATCAACTGC